ACCATCTTCCAGAAGAAATCACTGGGGTGCAAAGTTAATTAACAGGTGTCCAAAGCCGCAGGCTAGGAAGCCTTTGTGCGTCCCCTGAATTTGGAAAAATATTCCAGGCTGCTGAATTGGACAGACCCCAACAGAGGTGAACAGCTGTTATGCAGCATCATGTTTGAATGCTGAATTTGAACAAGACTTCACAATGCCCATTTTATTACATAATACCAATGGAATGTTGCTGTGTATCTGGGCATCTGTTGTGGTTACACAATTACTCCACTTTTGCCCTCAAAACGTAGCCTGTGGGGAGAAGGGCAACCAGAAAGAACTCTTCCATTCCACCCGGTTAGCGCTGCGCTACACATCCAAGGTTAGTTTTGCCGAACCTGGCCGGTTTAGTACTTTTTCTAACTAAGTCCATGATCTGCTGTTACTCCTGCTCTGTTTACTGTATATTGTTACGACAATGTTTGGTTGTTGGTTTTACTGAGGGCTTGTTAGTGTTGGAAAGGCACTGGAAAGACAAATCTATCTTTGTTAAGAAATTTGAAAGAAGACTTAAGACGTAAGATGCAACTGCACTTAAAACAAGATAAAGCAATGCTACAGCAAATGTTATTCTGTTTAATGCACAGAATTTTACGCATAAAATTACCTAGGCAAATATTATTCCTACAAAGAGCAAGTTATCAGAAATGATTACAGATCAACCAAAGAAAGAACTTTAAGTCTTTATTAAACATATTGGGGATTGCAACAGGGCCAGAGATGTGTATTCAGAAGACCTCAGCCTTTGAGGGTAAAGCAGAGTTAAACCTTGCTTAAGGCACTGGCCAATTGAGGACTCTTCCACTCGGCCAATTATGGAACATTTCAGAATTAAGATCTGCAGGCTTTGGCCAATCATTAACTCCTGCTGATCCGTCTGCATTGAGACATTGCCTTGGATGCACCCACAAAAGGGAAATAAAACAACAACTGCTCGGTGCAAAGGGATGAAGTGTGAGTCAACAATGAATAAGAAAACAGGCATGGCTAGAATTTAACCCGAAGTCCAGCCATACCTGTTTCCTGACTCACTTAAAAAGGAAACCACGTAAAAAAAAAAAAACAAGGGGGGAGGGAAGAAACAACCCCTGGTATTGGGGAGGGGAGTAGAATCCTGATTTTCAATGTTTTGACTGCCAGACATGATTACTCGGTGCCATCAAATCATGGCTGGCAAAATGTAAGAAAACTGCAAAACATCCAATCACCCAGCGAACAGATCAACCAATTCCTGTTTATACAGGAAGGGTCTTCCCACCCACCCTCCCCTCCACCCAGATCAGGAGTGTTTGGAAGAATTCAGAACCGCCTCTTTGACTACTGACTGATTGATGCAACTTACATTGCCACCGTTTCATCGCTCTGGGCAGCTTAGGAGCCCGATGCAAGGCCAGGAGGAGTTGGGGATGGCTTCAGGCCAAGAAGGCTGCTTGGGGAGCAGAGAACAATTTTGGAGAACAAAAAGTCCTTGTTTTGCAGACCTGCCACTTCCAGCTTTCCCCTCCTGCTTGCCAGAGAAAACAGGAGCTGGAGGTGAGAGGAAGATCAGCAGAGTCCACTCCAGCTCCCCAGCCACTCCGGGCCAAGGGGAGAGCCCTGCAGAGCCTGACTCTCCTCTGACTCGCTGCTGTCTGGCCAGCCGTTGTAAAATTGAGTGTGATCGTAAGTTGAGGCCTACTCCCTTTCTTACTCCAGGACCGGCTATGAAGACCCACGATCCACCCCTCCAGCTCCTCTCTCTCCTGACTCTGTCCCCTGCCCTAAACTCACAAACCGCAGTAAAGGAGAGGGAACCTTTCTGCGTGGGGTTTGCTTTCCCCCCAGTAGATCGGAAGTCTCCTTCTTGGCTCCGAGACAGTCTGCTGATGAAGGGATCCCTGGCTGGGTATCAAAGACTTTGCAAGCTACAGCACGTTGGCTGGAAAGATGGCGTGCCCATAATCCAGCGGAAAGGAAGGCAGGAATTCAGTGTTCCCAGGGAGCTGGCAGGCATGGGCAGGCATGAACCAGCCTGTTGGCTCCAGACCCATTAGCAATATTGATCCACCATGATCAATACTCAGCTCCTCACAGGCATTATTAATTCAGCTGACCGCATAGCCCATCCTTCAGGCGGGCAGCAGACCAATCAGATCAGAAACAAAGCCGGAGGAGACAAGATCAGTTTTTTTTTCTCTCTCTCTCATGGGCAATTATGCTTTAAATAGCATCCTGCTTCTCATACATTTACCCCAGTAACCTTGTTGGCTGAGCTGAATGGAAACGGGAGTCAAACACAGCTACTACAAGGCATGGATCTAGCCAAGACCGAGCAGAACGCGGTGATCAACTGGCCTCGGTGATGGAAAAGGGGGCCCCCCCACACCAAAGATGACCAGGACCACAAAACTAACAGTCAGCTGCCCCTAAACGGATGCAAAAATATAATCTCCCTTTCTTGCTCGAATTCCAACAGGCAGGACTTGGTGAAGGTGCACCAGCACCTCAAAAAGAGGCCAGCCTTAAGTAGAACAAGAGCAGAAAAGGAGATTGATTCACTTTGCTCCAAGAAGTGAAGGATAAATTAATTGGGCGGGTGGGGGAACCAGGGGCTCCCCTCTGGGACCAGCCTCCCCACTCCTAGCTCAGCCAAAGCAGCAGGCTGGGCCAAATCCTCGAGGGACAGGACAATCCGCACTCGGCCTTCATGAAGTCCTGCTTGTGTTGGGTACAAGAGCCCTGTCCAGGGGCTTGAGCAAGCAGCACCGATGGACAGACCATCCCAGTCTAAGCAGCGGAGAGCAACACAAAAACCCCTGGTGGATTTGCAGGCCACGTGGTGAGGCACAAGCCCAAGGTCTCCCGCGGTGCAACAATGCCCGGCCGTGACTTGTCTCCCACAGAAGCCCTCTGCTGCCCGCATCACCAGCTTGGCTGCAAGGTGGGGCCAGGTGAGCTTTGGATGCAGTGATGTTGCACCGGCTGCACTGCTGCAGGGAGGAGACGTGCAGGGCCGCCCTCGCTCACTTCCGGTCAAATGCAATACCATCGAAGAGGGGAAGCAAGAGGAGGGGCTGCTTGGTGAGGCATTAGCCAGTGGGCCAGGAGGATTTACAGATAGTCCTTGACTTTGGACCACGACCTCCATCACTAAGTGAGTTGCACTTGATTTTACCTTTTTTTTGGCTGCGGTCGCTAAGCAAATCACCACTTGGGGCTTCCACTGATTTTGCTTGGGGAGGCCCCCCCTCGAAAATGTCACCAATAGTGATTCGATGACCTTGGATGGTAAATACGCACCGGTAGCTAAGTGCCCGAACTTTGGTCATGTGACCGCGGGGACCCTGCGACGGTCATTAAGTGCAAAGGCTGGTCATGAGTCACCTTTCCCCCCCCCCCCGGTGCCATTGTAACTCTGAATGTTCATTAGACAAAGTCAGGGACTACCTATATTTTTATTTTATTACACACACAGGGGAATGAATGAATGAATGAAAGAGCCAGGGCTTCTTTGGGGAACGTCTCCGGGGCCTGCAAATCGCACATTATTTTTCTATAGTAGAAAAACCAAATTACAGCCGTTTGTGGGTTTCCTGTGGAGAGTTAAAAGGGAAGTGTGAATTTCTGAACTTTGCTTTGGATTGGGACAGATGTCGGCCGATTCCCCACTCAGATTCAGAGCCAAACTGAAGCAAACCGATTTCCCAATCAGAATACGGGCTTAATCTTACGGTGGGCGTACATATCCCAAAAATAAAACAGACTTAAGCTTATCCACCTGTACGGGGCCACTGTAACAGCTTGACAAGACTAACTGAAATAGTAACTGATAGAAAAATTGCAATCTGAAGTTAAAATCTTTTAAACCAGTGGTATCCATCCGTGGCACAATTTTAAGACCTGTGGGAAATTCTGGGAGTTGAAATCCAGAGGACGTAAAGTTGCTAAGATTGGACACCCTTATTTCAAACCCTCAAAACTCACCTCTTTTTAACACAGTATAAAAAGGTGCCAAGTTAAAGCACTCATTCAGCTACCCAGAAAACCCAACCAGCTGGCCAAAGCAGGGCTGAGCAGACACCAAATTTCCCTTAAAACAGCTGAACTGCTGTATCCCCAAGCAGCAAAGAAGTTGCAGCCACTTTTAAGAGTGCAGCTCGCTCAATAGGAACTCTGGACCTTAACTGCAGAGGCCGAGTTCAGAGGAAAAGCCTTACAGATGTCTCCTCTGTTGTCAAGCATACTTTTTAATCCCTCTTTCGGAGCCAGGCAAAGCTTCGGGACCCCACCCGATTTTGGTGCATGACTCATCTGGGAAACATTTTCCTTGTGGGAGGTCAGACTGGATTTTGAAAGAAAACTTGGTGTTAAGCAACGCTGCAACCCAAAGGCTCTACCTTGTCATTAAAACCAGCCAGCCCCAGCAGACTGCAGAAACGAAGAGGAAACAAAGCAAACAAAAACAAACGGTTTGTTGTGGCAACTAGATAAAAACTTACGGCTCTTCGGGAACTAGGAGAGCATTATGTGTGTATGCGGCGATAGAAACTGAACTGAAACCATGTTCTTTCTTGGATAAAGCAGTGCATTTAGCAGAAATAAACCGTGTCTAAAAAAAATAAAGATCAGCCCAGAAACACTCACAACAACAACAACAAAATACCTGAAAGCTTTAGTGCCTGGAATGGGACAGGTGGATTGATGTCTCAGACAAAACCGGGTGTAACTTTGCAAAAACATGGCTGTACTTTGGCAGAAAACATTTCTGTGCTGTGACATCAAGGCTGTCCCGCCCCACTTCATCTTGGTCTCGCCTGGGGCAGGAGCACTACACAACTATGGCCGTGCAACCACAGACTTCAAGGTTAATTAGTTTGGAGTACAAAATGATGCCAAATGACAACGTGCATACAAGCCGTTGTACAAAAGCCCAAGCAAAATTCGAATCCATGCTCCACACACAAAAAAAAAGAAATCAGAAATCAGGGAATTAGGAATTTTAACTGTATTTTAAAAAGACAAATACACCCACGCACAAGGCCAGCACAGAGCTCAGTTTGACCCTGTGAAAAAGGGGAAAAATAAATACATTGAAGTTGGAGTCCACAGGTCTTAATTTGCTAAGGCCGGACACCCGTTTTAAACCCTCAAAACATCCACATGCATTTGGTCTTCGGGTGATGGCACGTGCCCGAGGACCAAGGGAGCAGCCTTGGGAGACCCTTAACAACTCTAAAAAAACTATATTTAAATTTAAAAACTGTGGGCCTTTCCCGACATTCCTGCAACCTGAAGAAAAGGGCAGTTTTAAAGGGAAATTCAAACTAAGATCTGTTCTCTTCCACCTCCGCCCCAGCTGCCCCCCTCCAAAAAGTAGAACTGCCCATTTTAACAGAAATCTACGCAGGGCTTGGTTTTCACCCAGTAACGTTACTGGGAACAGACGGCAATATAAAAGCAGTTCTGATGGTTCAGAGTTGGCTGCTCTCCTTCCCGGGTTGCTTCATGCACCTTCAGTGCAAGAGGCTTTCTTTGAAGACGTTTCGCTTCTTATCCAAGAAGCTTCTTCAGCTCTGACTGACTTGCATCCTCCACCCTCCAGTCAGAGCTGAAGAAGCTTCTTGGATAAGAAGCGAAACGTCTTCCAAGAAAAACAAGAAAGTCCAGCTGCCTCCTGAAAAAGCACCTTTGGGACAACCAGGGCCTGGACGACAAAGAACCTCCGTAGACTCTCAGTGCAGGAGAAACTCCTCCGATGCTCCCCTTAAGGACCGGAGAGGCGGAAAGGTTTCCTGGCCACAACGCCCGGCCTGATGCAGTTGCCCACCACCTTCTTCGTTCACCGAAGAAGCCTTTTTGCCGAGAAAGACTGCTGTTCCTGCTGCAACTAAGTCATGTGGCCTCGGTTGGTGCGCTTCTTTTTCCAGAATTTCCGGTTTGGGCCTCGATTGTCTGGCCTGGAGCCCTTGTTCTGCGCAGTCCCAGGCTTCTTTCTCGGGGGCTCAGCTTGCAGGGAACCGACCCTGGCTTCCATCGAGACTGGCCCTGGGGGGCTGGGTGTGGCGGAGAAAGCTTTGATCCTGCTCATCTAGGAGTCAGAAAGGGAGGAGAAAGAGGAAACAGCTTCAAAGTGAGTCAAAGTTCCTGCCAGAATTGGTTAAAATGCCATCACCCTGAATCCCAAGGAAACCTTTTCCTTTTTGCTCTTCTGCTCCTCAATGCCGGATTAAGTTCATTATGTGTACAGTGACAACACAACCCTTATTATAAAGGACAACCCTGTATTTCAGAAAAAACAATCTTCTTGGGTTAGTTATTTTCTTGGCTTTGTTCTTGAATTTTCCTTTGCAAAGTGGTAAAAATGTGTTTATTTTTATCCTTACGAACCTCTTTCAGGGTTGCCCCTTTTGCAGGTTTGTGCTCCATGAAAATATGGTCGCTGTACATACATGATATTGTCCTAAAGCAGCTACACAGGGCAGTGAGGGCTTCTGTATCGCTCGGGCAGTATTATCTGCGCCCCCCTTCCTGAACTTCTAGGAGAGGGGTCTCCAGCCTTGGCAACTTGGCTGAGGAATTCTGGGAGTTGAGGTCCACAAGTCTTAAAGTGGCCCAGGCTGGAGACCCCTGCTCTAAGATTTCTTCCTCATCTCTATTTGCAGAACTCCTGACAGAAGTATTCAAATGTCTTCCAGAATTACTTTGAAGGATGATAAAGAGGCCCACTTCGAAAAGTAACATCTGTGGGAAAGGTGTTATAATAAAAAGGGGAGCCCCGTTCTCACGTGGGGTAGCTAAACTCCAAAGGGTTCTCCCAAACGATCCTTTCTCACCTTCCACTTCCTGGCGCCCTCGTCCGGCATTGGTGGGAAAGTGCAGGGGACGCGGCCCTGAGCAAAGTGATGTGGCAGAGGGAGGCTGGGGTCGAGGGGGACCCAGGGCACAGAGAGAGCAGCCGGGGCAGGCGGCAGGCTGGTGTGAGCGGCGTGCAGGTTGTACATTGCCCGAGTGGAGATTCCGTCCGAGCTCTTGTAGATGGACACCGAGGAGTCTCCCGCCAGGTGAGCCAAGAGGTAAGAGCCTTCCTGCAAGCTGACAATAGCACAACCATTACAAACCAATGCCAAATCCGCAGGGCCTTTTCTGCAGCGGCCCCTTTTCTATGGAACGTCCTTCCTTCGGAGGCCACAGTGGCCCCAAGCCTGTTAGCCTTCCGTAAAGCTCCAAAAACCTGGCTCGGCTCCTGACCCTGTGGTGCTGCGTGGGCCAAGGGCCCTGCCTCCCGGCTGCACAGTTAATGGGCCGGGTAGCTTGCTTTTGGATGCAACTTGAATTAAATGTTTTAATGTTTTTTTTACTGTTTTAATACTTTTTACTGTTTTTATTGTTTTGATATGTTTTTTTTAATTTTAATTGTTAACGTAGGTTTTGTGAGCCGCCCAGAGTCTTTTGCTGAGATGGGCGGCTACAGAAATGAAAATGAAAATCGATCGATCGGTCTGTCTGCTCCCCCCTGGCTCTGTCAGACACAAGCTGCCTCCTTTGCACCTTGTCACCAGTACGTGCGGTTTTGAACGTGTGCGAGGATGATGATCCAGACCTGATTCGGATCTTTCCTCCTTGTCCCAGGTTCCAAGTGTTCGCTACGAGCTTCCCAGCACTGGATCCTGGAGTCCTGGGTCTCTCCTTAGTTTAAATCGGTTGTTACGCACAACACAAAGAAAGAGAAAAGGAACAGAGGAAGCCACATACGTACCCAGACACTTTCTTCAAGATGTTTTGGAGAATATGTAATGAATTGGTTGGCCTGTGGGGGGAAGAAGAGCATTCAGAAGCCAAAAAATAATTAGAGCGAAATTAATGCATTATGCAAACATGGCAACTGCTGTTTGTTCAAGAGATAAACAGACATGCAGGCATCTGAAGAGCTTGTGGATCCCAGTGGTGCCCTTTCTTGGAGCGCCCAGACACAAGCCGGTGAGAGGTCAGACCCGATCAGCTGTTTATTTCAAATCCATTCTGTGCAGCTGCAGAATGTGTGGATAAGCCATGAAACATGGCATTTGACAGGAAGTGCAACATCCTCGACTGTCAGCCACTTTCAGAGGCACGAAGTTCCTAAACCTCATGACTCAAAAGAGAGTTTGAGAAATCCCTGGACTTTGTCAACTCTCATTCCGCAAAGCGATCCAAGAAGGGGAGGATCGGAGAATCTCTGCTGTAAAGGAAAAGGGCCAGATAACAAAAGGCCCTCCTCTGATTAACCTTGGCTCAGGAGACCAGGCACACAGCTGGTCCCTGACTTACAACCAGTCACTTAGCGGCTGTTCCAGTTTACAACAGAACCCAAAAAACGTATTTACAACCCAGATTTGAAGTTCCGATAGCTGACACCCCCGCCCCCCCAATCTGGTTTATAACTAGTGCGTTCACTTAATGACCACTGCAAAACAGTTGTAAAAGTGGGCGTGGTCATATGACCCACTTAATAACGAAGATCATACAACTAAGTGATTTTTATTTTTTATTTTTACTTTTTTTAAAAGCCCATGATTTCAACTGCATTTGCTGGAAGAAAAACACTTAAATGTAGAAAGGGGAACTAATGGTTGGGGAGCCCTGTAAGTCAACCTTTCTATTGTGGGAAGTTTGCTTGTTTGTTGCATTTATTTGCCACCCATCTTACTTAAATGTGCCGAATCGCTTTTCCAACGCCTTCCCAGTCAGCCGCTCAAGCAGGAAGACGTGTGAAGTGAGGGCATCGATGTGACCTAAAGGAGGGAGACATTTTCCCAAACGGAAATGAAGAAACGGCAAAGCAGGAGACACCACAGCTTAGGCTAAAACGAAATCGTGACACCATCATGACACTTGAAACAAAAGGAAAGTCAGACTTAATTTGGAGGCTAAGCTCACCTATCACCCTAGTTACGTCACCATGAACCCGGAGAGCAAAATGGACATTGCCAACAAATTTGGAGTGCTTGGGTATGGTTAGAAAGGCACTGACTTTTCTAGCCTGTCCTATCTACGTTTCCTGGTAAAATACATGAGAAAATCCCATTGGAGGAAAATTCCACTTAGGGCAGTGAAGGCGAAACTTTTAGAGACCGAGTGCCCAAACTACAACCCAAAACCCACTTACGTATCGTCGGGTGCTGGGTGGGCGTGGCCCATTGGATGGGCGTGGCTGCGATGGTAACTGCAGACTGGGTAGGATTAAAAAGTTCAATCAATCATTTCCAACTTTGCAAGATTTTTTTTTCCCACAAGAAGTTGAAATTGATTGATTGCACTTTTTTTTTTTTTTTGCACACAGCAGCGGAGGCCTAGAGCAAAAAGGTTTTATAAAACCCAGCTGAAGGTGACTGGGGTGACGAAGCGCATGCCCACAGAGAGGGCTCTGTGTGCCACCTGTGGCACGCGTTCCATAGGTTCGCCACCATGGCCCTAGCCTATCAGTTTGCCATGTACTGTGGTTTATCCCATCAACCCTGGTTAGGATGATGCAGGCCCTAGGCCTGAAAAGTAAAGAGTGCTTCAAAAGGATATTTAAACCATTTAAACCAGGGGTCTCGAACTGTGGCAACTTTAAGACTTGTGGATCTAAAAGCTGCCAAGGTTGGGGACCTCTGATTTAAACCATCCTGTGCATTACTCAGAAAACGGCCCATTCCTGGGGGTGGCTGAACTAGACTCAAGTTAGATATTTCGGTCTAAGGTTAAGGTCTAGGGCAGGGGTTCTCAACCTTGGCAACTTTAAGACTTGTGAACTTCAATTCCCAGAATTCCTCAGCCAGCAAAGCTGGCTGAGGAATTCTGGGAGTTGAAGTCCACAAGTCTTAAAGTTGCCAAGGTTGAGAACCCCTGGTCTAGGGAGAGCACAACTCCCTCCGAACTGAGCCTGACTTCAGACACCCTCCATCGGATGCAGCAAACTACTCAGAGGCCCATTTCTCAGCGGCAGCAGCACAGAAGGGGAACCCCCCAGCGTGGACCGTTAGGGGTTTTACTGCTGTTGCTTCAATTGCTCTGGGAGAGGCTTTGATATGAGCCACAAGGTAGGAGTTACCGCGATATCATCGGCTGCTTTGAGATAAACATTTCATCATCGTGTTAATTATCTTCGCGGCGTCTGCCTTCCGTTTCATCCGACGTATCTAACAAGTTCAGTAAATTCAAAACCACCCTATTTTTGAAAGAATTACTGGAACACTACAGATCGCTCTCGACTTACAGCCGTTGGTTTAGTGACTGTTTGAAGTTACAATGGTATTAAAAAAGGTGACTTGTGTTTTTCACACTTACGACCTTTGCAGCGTCCCCGTGGTCATGGGACCAAAATCTGGACACTTGGCAACTGACTCATATTTATGACGGGCTGCCGTCTTGGGGTCATGAGATCCTATTTTACGATCTTCTGTCAAGCAAAGTCAATGGGGAAGCCAGACTCACTTAACAACCGTGTTACTCATTTAACAACTGCAGGGATTCCTGTAAGAACTGTGGCAAGCAAGGTTGTAAAATGGAACCAATTTCACTTAAGACATTCCTCGTTAGCAACAGAAACGATGAGCTCAGTTTCGGTCATAAGTCAAGGACTACCTGTACCACAGTCAGGTGCATAAAACCATTGGCAGGAAGGACATTGTGCAAAAAAAAAAAAAAAGAGTCCGAAGATCCACTGACCCACGGTGAAGGAAGTATTGGAATGTAACAAGTTTTCCATCCAGAGTCGACAGACTTCGTCTTCCGTGAAGGTTTCTGCTCCGTAGAAGGCCTGGTATTCTAACTTTGGCAAAACGTAAACAGGAAAGTGCTGGAAAACAAACGCCTGAAGTTAAGCAAAAGCTTTTCTACTTCAAAGCGTTTTCAGTCTGTCTTGAGTGGAAAAGCAAAACGTAAATCTCATCCGTTGCTAGGACCTGCCTTCTCTGAGATCAGCTATTTACAGCTACAAGTAAGAAAGCAATGACCTTTGAGAGAATTATTGTTTATCGATAATAGGAAAGTCAAGCATCTGAATTATATTGTTAGGATCATCCGGAAAGCTTCTTCCTCAGCCAATTTTTGTTTTTTTTCCTATTCTAGAGAAAGGAGAGGACACTTTCTTGTTCATTTATGAAGCTGAAATTGGACTGGGCGGTGGCTCAAACGCTCCGAAACAAGAAACAAGGAATGTACCTCCTACATGAGCCTTCAGGAGAAACGCTAAAGGTTGCACAGGTGAGCAAGTATGAAGTCAAAGATAGAATCCTAGCCTATACTATTCACCCCGGAACAGACTGCCAAGACTACAGCGGTAAAAAAATGACCCAAGAACCAACAACATTCACTCCTATTTCTTGCAAATCCAGGAGAGACTTGTAAGAATTTAGCCCTGGAATTCTCCCACCTTTAGAAATCCAGGGGAAAAAAAAGATGATGAATCATAGAGGAGAGCCCTACAAACTCAGCTTAAAGGAATATCCACATTGTAAACCTTCTGCCAACAATTCTTTCTCTCTTAATGTAGGGCTTGCGAACTCTCCCTCCTCACATTTGATCCCCTGGAAGAAATGGTTCATGCAAATAAGCGCAAGTATAATGACCACAGCAGGAATCCAGCATGGGAGCTGGCTAAAACCAACGGAAGCATGACGTGTCCCCCCCCCCAAAAGACATCCTCCCACCCAACAAGAGAACCTACCCGCCTGAATTTTGCCTTTTTCTGATGGGGTCTCAACTCCGTTTTCTGGATGGTGGTGCGCACCAACAGCAGCATGTCCTCCAAGCTGTACAATTTGTAGACCACGTTGCCATGCTGAGGAGGTTCGTAGTCGGCTGCATCTTCGGCTGCATCCCAGAGCATCCCTTTCCGGAAAGACGGGGATTTTGCTGACTTTTGTGCACAAAGAGGCTTCACTCATTAACGAAATTTTTCTCCCCAGTACGAAATTCCCTTGAATTCTGAACAAAGAATGAACTGTGTACACACATACCAGAAATGTTTACAGCAGTGTGGCAACTTTACGATGGGTGGATTTCAGCTTCCAGAATTTCTCAGGCAGCTTAGCTGGGGAATCTTGGGAACTGAAGTCCACCCATCTCAAAGCTGAACTCTGGGAGTTGAAGTCCACCCATCTCAAAGTTGGCAAGCTTGCAAAACATGGGTTTACAGCCACAGCCTAGTTACAGCCTCACATAGCCTACCTTTCTGAGGCCCCTGGTAACAGGTTGCCCAGGTAAACTTGGGGGAGGCGCCTGTATTTGTTACGGTATTTTGTCCCGGCTCCGCCACTGAAGATGCCAAGGCGAGAGAATGGGCATCTGCCTGGCCTTGGGTAGGATTCAAACTCCTTTCGCTGGTTGCCAGCAGGTGCCCCTGACAACTTGGAGATGGGGGTTTCAGCAGCTTGGTTTGCATTTTCAAAATCTGCCCCAGGGGATCGACTTCCTGGGATAACCGCGGGGGAGGCTTGCAGGGAGCATTCTTGCTCTGCATCTCTGAAGACCCGGCTGGTTTTTCTGCCGGGGCCTGTCCAGGGCTGGGTGAAGGAGAAGCAGGTCCTCCAGGGCCGGGGGTGGAAGTGACCACCCCAGGTTCAGACACGTGGTCAGCTTCGCATTCTGCGTCGATGATCAGATGCTCCCCATCTGTGTCACTGCTGCAGGACAGGGCAGGGGACGGGACGTCTTCAGCAGTTCCTTCACTGAGATTATGATTTTTATCTGAAGAAGCGATCAAGAAATTGGGGTCCAGACTTCTGCCCTCTGGCTCCGTTTCCATTGGCTTGAACGTTTCACCCAATGAGTTTCCCTCGCTTTCCAAATCCAGAAGATTCCTTCCTGAGGGCGATGCCTTCCCGCTGCTAGATGCCGTTTCCCGCTCCTGCGCTTCGCTCCTCCCTTCCCGACCTTCTTCCGTTTTCAGGTGCGCCGGTAAGACTGCAGACAATCCGGATGGCTTTGCGGGAGTGACCTCAGCTGAAGAAGCGCTCAGAGGCTTTGCGGCTGAGGCAAAGCTCTCCAGTTCTGTGACGTCCGTATCAAAGTCCAGGTCTGCAGAAATGGATTCCCGCAAGGGTCTGCCTTGGCAGGTCTTAAGCGCTGTGCCTGGCTGGAAGAGAGAGAGAAAAATGGGGATAAGTCTGGATACGCATGTTGTGTCCCTTTCATCACAAGCCAGGTCTTGAAGGCTTCAATTGCCAATATTCTTTTTTATTATTATTTTAAATGCAAGCTTCTTATCCTATGAAATTCAGGCAAAGTTTCTTTTAGTACTTCAAACAAAAACAAAAAAACAAAAAAAACCAAATAGGACTGAAACTCACCGGCTCTTCTGATGGCTTGTCTAGTATCACAGCCCGAGCTACAATACTGGACTGCTTTGTCATATGAAAATCTGCCAGGAATTCGTGAAAAAAATGGTTCTTTTCCCTCAACGTCATCTCCTTCTTAGGGAGCGGGGGGTCGATGTAGGCCACTCTGACTGGTTTCAGACCTTTTGGAGAAAAAAGTTGATTTTCACTTTTTTTTTTTATTGATAAAGGATAATTACTTTTCAGCTAAATATGGAAGTACAAGCAATAAAATTTCCCACATAATAAGAACTGGATTTGCCTTCCCAAAACTTTTTTTTTAACCATCATTAGTTGGAAGGAGATAAACAGGCAATAAACTGTAAGTAGGTTTTAATCACTACATGGGGTCTTTCTGTGTGAAATAAATACACAGGTTATCTAACAGAATAAAATCTAGAATAAACTAACTATTACTAATTTCGTTAAAAATACGAATCCTGGGTATAGTCATATTATAAGAGCAAACAAACACGAACACCAGGAAAAATATAAAACTAGAGATATTTATTCTAATGCCAAGCTTTCGCCGGCCAACTGCCGAAATCATCAGGGAGCGTTAACATCAATTAACATCAAGAACATAATCCACACACAGCCAAATCAAGTAGGACCGATGACGAGGTCCAGGAGCCGTGTGCACAAATTGACTAGCACTATAAAGAGACTCCCACTGACTGGTTTTAAGCCCTGATGATGTCGGCAGTTGGCCGATGAAAGCTTGGCATTAGAATAAATATTTCTAGTTTATATTTTTCCTGGTGTTCGTGTTTGTTTGCTCTTATAATAAACTAACTGTACTCTCTATAGTTAATGTTCAACATTTAAAAAGAAACTGTGAAGCAACGTATTGTTTATTCTTCCTAATCAGTTTCCTATTCTTTGCTACAGGATCAACAGTCATTTGTATAAAAAGTAATCACATTTGTTTGCTTTTCTTTCCAGACAAGTGTAACACTTAAGCAAAACTATTCTGCTCAGAATTAAGCGCAATTCCAAAGTTCAATGGGACTCCCTCTCAGGAAAATTGGACCAGTAATCAGGAAAATAAAAATACCCGCAGGCTATTTGGCTCATTGTAAACTTCTAGTGATGAGGCCGATCCTCACTTAGAAATAACTTGCCCAAGTCAGCATCAGAGCCATGCTAAGCCCAACTCTATGCCAAAAGGAGAAGAATATCAAACTCACCACCAAGAGAAACTGTTTTCACAGACACAGGAAGCTCCCACTGCTGCTTATAATCCAGACCGTGATTGTTCAACAGAGTATACAAGGATTCCCCCGTCAGGACCACCTGAGGACAGTATTTGGCAGCCAGTCTTTCAGCATTTGGATCGGTGCTAACATCCTTTACAAATAAATGGAAATGATGAGATAATAAATTGTAACTTAGACTGAACCAAATTATATGATTACACTATTAAGGTTGATGTCCCAGAGGTAATTTTAGCACACATGATAAAAGTAGGCAAACATGACTATTTATACATCTGTGCCCTTAAGAATCAACAGTCTCTTGGTTCCGGCATGAATTGGACTTTTAGTGAAGCCTGCATCCTGATGAAATACTGCCCTCCTTATACAAATATCTCACTCTTACCTAGACATGCGTTGTGTGTGCTTAGAGATATCTTAAAACTGTAGCGGTTGCTAAAGTCACCATTTCCCCTGGAATAATGTTTATATTTGTTACTCGCTGCCCAAGAATCTCCCTAA